AACAAAATGCAGTTAAATACAGTTTTAAATTTTTTTATTTATAAAAAGTTTATATTAATATAATACAATAATTCTATTGTAATTTTTTTAATAACACATATGAGTATGTATTTGTAAAAGTTACAATAATTTTAGTAGTATATAAGATGAAGCATTTAGCATTGTATGAATATTTAGAGGAAAACTTTTACAATTTTTAATTTCGTTTACAGCAAGTACTTTAGTATTTTTTTTAGTAAGAATAGCTTTGTAATGTTCATCAAAACTATGAACTTCTATTTCTGAATAAATACCCTACACTTTTTTGTTTAAATCGATAGCTAAGTATTCAATTTTATGCACATGTAACTTCTTGTTCAAAAACAAGCATAGATAAAAATTACTTTTATGTATATAAAGTTCCTTTGTACAAAATTAAGGTTTTTGACGCGGAAATGCAGTTGTAAGAAAATTTTTACATGTTCTGAAATTTCTTCATAATTGATATTATACGTAAATTAAAACTTAAAGTAAAAACTTAGAAAATTGATAAGTCATTGTCATTGTACTTCAGCCAAGCTTCATGATTTGCAAAACGTTGTCATCTACTTCATCGCTGGAGCTTTCACTGTCTTCGCAGAGCGACTCAGTACCAGCCATGGTGCTGGAAGAACTTGCAAGTGATAATCTACGCTTTTTACGGACATTGAAATAGCGGTTGTAAAGTTTTCCGGAAGGTTTTTTACCACGCATCGGAGCCCAATTTCGGAGAATTGGAGACTCCAAATTACTTGCCAACGAGTTCTGAAAAATAATTTCAATAACATTGTTTTAATTTAGATAATTTTTGAATTTATACTAGGCAAAATTTTTAAATGGTTTTAAAATAGTACAAAAGTATTTAAAACATTTTACAAATGTGTGTATAATAATAATATACAAGTATTTAACAAATAAAACTCAATAATAATTATTATCATTGAGTCAAAATTGTTTTACGACGATTACAACTTGTTGATTTTTTTGGTAAAAATTTAAAAAATTATGATTATTTTCAGTCCCTGTTTTAAAATAATACACACATTTGTAAAATGTTATAAATATTACCATTCAAAAATATTTTTAGTAATATTTATACAATTGCAAATTATTTTAAAACATAATGCTACAATGCTATGTATGTGAACTAGGGCTGCAAGTTAGTTAATCAGCTGTTCGGTTAATCAATTACTCGAGCAATAAATATTTTAATTTTTTAAATAACTTTCGATTATTTTAAGACAATTCTCAAATTAAAATAATTAACAAATATTTGCAAGTATTTGTAAATACTATCATTTTTGTTTGTGAAATTATCAGTCGCGTGAAATTTTCAGAAAAACGGGAAGAAATGAATCCCCATATGAGGGAAAAATATAAAATTTCAGATTTTCTCTTACACAAAAAATTTGCTTTTTATAGTGTATTCGTTATGAAATGAAATAAAATAAAATAAAATACCTTTTTATGAAAACAAAGTGTGTATGCTGAGAAAAAATAAAAAACATTCAACTATATTAATGGGCAAAGAATAGTTAAAGAAGTAACACTGTTTCACGTAAGGCAGTCAATATGGCGGAATTAGAGNTGAAATTTTCAGTCGCGTGAAATTTTCAGAAAAACGGGAAGAAATGAATCCCCATATGAGGGAAAAATATAAAATTTCACATTTTCTCTTACACAAAAAATTTGCTTTTTATAGTGTATTCGTTATGAAATGAAATAAAATAAAATAAAATACCTTTTTATGAAAACAAAGTGTGTATGCTGAGAAAAAATAAAAAACATTCAACTATATTAATGGGCAAAGAATAGTTAAAGAAGTAACACTGTTTCACGTAAGGCAGTCAATATGGCGGAATTAGAGCGAGAATTTGCCAACTGATAACACCTCGTATTATTGCATCATGCAACTGATCTGCTTTGCCGAAATACCAGCGAAGCATCAGTTAATCGTCAATTATCGTAAGACGCACGAAGACGATGATATACTATCGACGTCGACGTCGCAGCAAGCAGCTTTTTGATGCCCAATTACATGTGTTTGGAAAATCAATAAATGCCCGCCAATGATATAAAGGCCACATTGAATATTGCAAGTTATTAATTAATTAAACTAAAAATTTAAAATAATATAAAAATATTCATAAAGCAACAACACTTTTAATATGTGTTATAATTAGTATCTTCTCTATCCGAGTCCCCAGTCGATGATGATGGAGTAGCTGTCCCACCGCCTGATTATGACGAGGGACGAATAGCGAACACGCACGCGGCTGAAAAACAACAAAGCTGCTGAATCTGACGGCGTGCCAGCCGAGCTATTCAAGTACGTCGGCGAGGAGCTGATGAGATGCAGAATATGGTCAGAGGAACGCATGCCCGACGACTGGAATTTAAGTGTGCTCTGCCCAATCCACGAGAAAGGCGACCCCGCCATACGCGCCAACTACCGCGGAATCAGCCTTCTAAGCATAGGTTATAAGGTCTTAACGAGTGTATTGTGCGAAAGACTGAAGCCCACCGTAAACGAGCTGATTGGACCTTATCAGTGTGGTTTTAGGCCTGGAAAATCCACCATAGATCAGGTATTCACAATACGCCAAATCTTGGAAAAGACCCGCAGAATAGGATCGACACACACCATCTATTTGTCGATTTCAAAGCCGCTTTCGACAGCAGAAGAGAAGTTGCCTTTATGCCGCGATGTCTGAATTTGGTATCCCCGCGAAACTAATACGGCTGTGTAAAATGACGTTGAGGAATACCACCAGCTCCGTCAGAATAGGGAAGGACCTCTACGAGCCGTTTGTTACCAAACGAGGTTTCAGACAAGGGGACTCCCTTTCGTGTGATTTCTTTAATCTGATGTTGGAGAAGATAATAAGAGCCGCAGAACTGAACCGCTCAGGCACAATACTTTATAAGAGCGTACAATTGCTGGCGTATGCGACGACATCGATATTATCGGTAAAAAACAAGGGCTACGTCTGTTCTGCCTTCTCGGGATTGGATAGAGAAGCAAAGCGAATGAGTCTGGTGGTGAACGAGGACAAAACGAAGCATCTCCTGTCATCACACAAATAGTCAGAGCATACGCGTCTTGGCACTCACGTCACTGTTGACAGTTACAAGTTTGAAGAAGTAGACGACTTCGTTTATTTGGGAACCAGCATTAACACCAATAATAATGTCAGCCTTGAAATCCAACGGAGAATCACTCTTGCCAACAAGTGCTACTTTGGGCTGAGTAGGCAATTGAGAAGTAAAGTCCACTCTCGTCGCACAAAGATCACACTCTATAAGTCACTCATCATGCCTGTGCTGGTGTATAGCGCGGAGGCATGGACAATGAAAGCATCTGATGAGGCGGCTCTTGGAGTTTTCGAGAGAAAGATTCTGCGAAAGATTTACGGACCTTTACGCGCTGGTGATGGCGAATATCGCAGACGATTTAACGATGAGCTGTATGAGCTTTACAACGATATAGACATAGTGCAGCGAATTAAAATTCAGCGGCTCCGCTGGCTTGGCCATGTCGTTGTAATGGACAGAAACGCTCCTGCTCTGAAAATATAAAACGCGGGCCGCGATACTGGTAACAGAGGAAGGGGAAGGCCTCCTTTGCGATGAAAAGACCAGGTGGAGAAGGACTTGGTTTCACTTGGCATTTCCAATTGGCGTCAGTTAGCACAGAAGAGAAATGACTGGCGTGCTGTTGTGGACTCGGCCAAAATCCCTTAGGCGGTTACAGCGCCAATAAAGAAGAAGAAGATAATTAGTATCTCATTAAATAAATTAAATATTTGCTCTTTAAGCCTCTAAGGTTTTAATACCCGAGCGCACTTGTGCACAAGGGTATTATAGCTTTGTTCACATAACGGTTGTTTGTAACAGGCAAAACGAATCGAGATTGATATAGACAAATGTATACATAAATGATCAGAATGAAAAGAGAAATCGATTAAGCGGTGACCGTCTGTCCGTCCGTCCGTCCGTCTGTGCACACG